AAAGTGTGAGAGGAGGGGAATACCTATCAGGAATACATTTTCAATGTTGGAAAATGTTAACTTCTGATACAATACATAACCTCTGTTCACATATAGTTAGAGTCCCACACTAAAGTGGTGAAGGGACCAGTGCAAAATTCTATCTGGATGAAACCTCTTTGGGTGCTTCCAAAAGGGGACTCATGAAGTGCAACAACCTATACCTGAGAAAAGTATAGAGGCATACTCGTGGGAGACCACACCTTCTCTGTACCAGGTACACTCTTCACTCAGTAAGTGAAGGGAGTGTTGCAATTACAGGTGGAAGATACAAGCACAATCCAACATCTCCAACAGTGCCATATGTGTAGTGTGGCTAGGGCATGTCAGACCGTATGTGGTGGGTTGACTCCAATCCAGAATCAGGCACTACTGGAAATTCGGCTTTCGAGCCACGAAAGAAGCAGCATCCTTACCATTTTAAGCCCATTGAGACAGAATGGGAAGGTAACATCTGAATTGCAAGTGAGTGAGAGGACTTATGTTGGCTGGTCCTGTGCCAATCCAACATCAGACCACACAGGAACCTAACATCCAGGTCATAGTAGGATGGGAAAAAGCCAGCCAAAGGTATGAACTGTACTACACAGAAAGAACACCACAACCCTACTCTCTACCGAGTGTAATTGGTCACACTCAGAAGGCAGCCTCCATGGCCCACCACCTCAGTGGCTAGGAACAGGTAAGTGGCAAGGATTCCCATGCTCCTGTAGAAGAAAATTTGGGGTGAAAGCACATTGGATCTGGCCTTGTTTAAGACACCGAGAGGATACATCGAATGGTCTTGCGGAACATCCCATTTCATGAGTGAATGCTATTTCACGCCAGGATGGCCCTAGACTGTGCAGATTTAGTTTAAGTATACAGTGAAAGCACATTGGATATGGCCTTGCAGAACACCCCATTTAATGAATGAATGCTATGTCACACCAGGATGGCCCTAGACTGTGCAGATTTAGTTTAAGTATACCGTGAAAGGTAACATTTGCCACTGAGCAGGATCCTTTAAGGTATGAGGGGGTCCTGTAAAAACAAGGTAAAAAAGAAGAAAACTTACCCAGATAGAGATGCTATAAGGTATGGAGAATAGTGATTGGAGGCAGTCTTTAGCCCAATGAAGAAGAAACAGCTAAATGATATAGACATTGTATGACAAAGGTGTGAGGTGTTTTCCACATGCTTGTCTAAGTGATCTCTTCAAATGGACGACGGAAGTGAATAGCCAAAGAGTGAGTAAGGTGACAAATTTGATGAGAGGATACATGGAAGCACTGATGTGCATTCCCATCCAATGAAGAATATGTCAAATAGGTAAGCTGATGGAGCCATTCAGTGACAATAAGGGGGAGAAATATCATGAGTGAATGAATGATTCCATAGAATTAAGAAACAGGATCGGGAACCATGAAAAGTAGAAGAGCAAATAACAGACTGCATAGACAGGGCAGAGTAGGCAATCAGGATCTGTTTAGAAAGATAAGAAATGGGATATAGGTGTGAATGCACTATCACCTTCATGCACCACAGACATATTAGGGATAAAAGCACGATCAAGATGGAGAAGGATATAGGAGTGTTGAAACAGAATGTTGACAACCACAGGCAAAAAGGAAGAGGAAATAGATTTTATGAGAAAGACGGTACATGGAGAACAACGTAAAAGAGCATAGTAAAGACAAGAGAAAAAAACCCGATGGAAACAGGAAAACCATAAAATAGTAGAAACAACAGCCTGGTAATCAGCAATAGTTGAGACTGATAAGCCCTGTTTGAATAGTAAAGTGAAAATCTCAGACAGATGGAGAATGGAAGGAAAAGAAGGGAATAGAAACAATGCAGTGACCAATAGCAAAAAATACCTCACTTCTACTGATACACCATGAGAGAGGAAGGGCAACAAAATGGGAAAGAAGGGAAACTGCATGTGAAAACAATCCTTAATGTTTTGCAAGGGACCAGATAAATCCCACACGTGAAGCCTGAATGATGACACAGCTGGATGGAAAAACAAAGTATGAGGCTGAAAGAGCAGAAGAGGAGGGGAGGAGAAGATCTGGATGTGAGGGAGGAAAAGGTATACCCTCTGTAGCATTTGTTCTGTCAAGCTACCAGACAAAGAGGAAGATGGATAAAGGAGGACAAGTGATACCAAGAGAGGTTCCACTGATCATGCAAAAGATCCGTATGAGCATATCCCAAGGGAATAAGAGTTTCCATGGAAGCCCTAGTCCCAAAAGAAAGAGAGCCACCTATGCAGGAAGAAAAGATGAGGATAAAGCTGCAGAAACCAAACTCTCCATGGCCTACAAACAGAGTAGAGAAGGCTGAGCCCTGCTGAGATGGGAAATGAAAAACACACTCAAGTGAATCAGATATCGAGTGGGTGTGAGATGAGACTTCTTCAACCTCACTAATGAACCAAGTCGAGCCACTTTCCCAAAAATAAGAGTATGGTTGTAGGAGTCTTAGTGAGATGAAGCTAAAAAAAGCCAGTCATCCATATATTGGTGAAACTGCAATTCCAAGCTGGAAATGTGATGAGCGAAGGTACGCATAACTGAACAAAAGACATATGAGGCTAACACCAGGCCAAAAAAGTGTGTGTGGAATTGATAAACCTAAACTTGATGAACAAATAAAACATGATGCTGGGGAGATGGGAATATGAAGTTACACATCGAAGACGTCCACCTTGGTCATCCAAAGTCCCAGACCAAAATACTACCAGAAGGTGAGAAAACTCTCCATGAAAAACTGAGGAAGGTTGAGTAACTGATTGAGATGTGAAAGATGTATGATGGGATGTCAATCTCCAGATTTCTTGGGAACAACAAGCAGACTAGAATAAAATCCTGCAGAAGGATGAGAAACCTGTTCAATAGCATCCTTGGTCAACAAATCTGCTACTGCCACTGAGAGTCGCAAGTGAGATACAAGATCCCTTGAAGGAGGAAAAGGAATAGGAGGATGAGCTAAAGGAGGAGAAGAGGAAAAACAAAGGGTAACTCCCTCTGATAAAACTTGTAGCACCAAATGGTTTGCCCCAAATGGAAACCATAGATCCACAAGCCGAGCCAAATGGGCTCCTACCATCCCTGAGCCTAGAGGATAGTCATTGATGAGGTTGTAAGCACTGAAATCTACACATGGAGGAAGAACAGATGGGAGCAGAGGAACAGGAGATGATGCAGAAGGATGGAAGACTGTAATGAGAAAAGAAGAAGCTTGGGAGAATGTTGGCACATGGCCTCAACCCACAAGTCCACAGAATCAGGTACTCCACCAAAAACACCTTGGTGGAGAAAAGGAGACAAGATGAAGGTCCCTGAGATAAGTGGGAGGCAAATTTATTTTAACAGAAAGGGCATCCCTCCCTAACAAATCCCAGAACACAGAAACCAAGTCTGAAAGGACAAGGTTGAGGAAGAAAAATGTGCCAATGTAGAGAAGATAAGGGAACAACTACCTGCCAAAAACTCCTCAGCAGAATGGAGGATTGCCTTGGAAAGAAGGTGAATGGAGAAAAGATAACACAACAGGGTAGTGTGGAGTAAGATGAAGGCATGAAAGTTGGGCCTTAGAAAGTCTAACAGAAGATAGAGGATATAAATCCCAAGCCTGAAGAAGAGACTAGTGTTTGAGAGTCCAAGAAAAGAAATTCAACCCAATGATAAGCCAAGGCATATGTGTCAACCAGGCAAGGATAATTAGGCATGCCAGCATTAGAGTGAGGTTGAGATAAAAAAATTTCAATATGGACTTGAATATCTGGAGAGGGAGGAAAAACATAATAGTCAGAAGCACAGGTCAAATTAAGTAGTGAAGGAGAAGAATCATATAAAACAGGAAAGAGAGAGAAGGTAACACGCCTGAAAAACTATGTCCAGAAAAGACGAAGAAGACCTAAGCAGTTCCAAGACAGTACTGATAGAAGAGTTGGCAAAGGTAGGTGGTGGAAAAAGACTGTCAAAACCCTCATCATCACAAACAGGATTCATAGGAGGAGATATATCTGTATCAGGTTCAGAAGAAGGTCCAGGCTACATGAAAAGCTTCATCGTCTGTCACACAATAGCCATCATTTCGTCAACACACAAAGAGGAACCCAATGCCATTGTAGTTGTTTGTCCAGCATGAACACTGTCTTGTTGTCTCACACCAGACAGTGGAAGATACCACAACCTGTAAATTCATAAGGTGGAAATAAAAGGCCACAAAATCTGCTGGTACAGAAATTTTGAAAACTAAAATTGAAATTTAATCTTTACACAACAGTGGGTATTTTTTGTAGATACTTCCACAACAAACATCAATATCAAAGCTCACAAGTAAAATAAAAAGGAAGAAATCTTTACATACAAGTGCCAAATTGAGAAGTGATGATTAAACAATCAGTATAGAGGGAGTCAGCTATGCTAGGAGGCTGTCTTGCACTCCTATTGGTGGAGGGCTGTCACATGCTCAGTTGCATGCAACAACACAGCAATATCACATGGAAACATGCAAGTTTAGGTGGATGATTCGAGGCTAGTGGCAAGTGAAACAATTTTGCATATAGAGGACAGCACTGAATATGTGAGAAGAGGTTACATATTGGAAATTAATGTTTCACATGAATTTTTTATTATATAAGCTTCCTCTTCAGTAATTGACAGTACACTGTACTTAACAGCAAATTTATCAAGGCAAGTATATGTTTTTTAGAACACAATTGAAAATTGATAATAATATCAATCTCTATCTATTTCCTTACATATATGGTATAAAATGCTTTGTAACTTCTTTGTTTATTATTAAGTGCCACAAAGTAAAAGAATATTACACTAATCAAAAGTAGAATTTAAAGGATAATCAGTACTGATAAAATGCAAAATATATTTATACTAAGAAATGACTAATTAAACCAAATAGATTATACAAAAAAGGCATACAGTTAAATCATGTACACAAGTAAAAGATACAGCATCTAAAGCTAGAAGGTGGAACCTCTGTTTTCTTTCCTCCTCTCTGTGGAAAAAGGATAAAAAATAGTTATAAACACTAACATTTTCCTCAACATAAAAATCTCATAATAATGTACAATAGAATATCAAACTAAAATTTTCTAAAAATCTCTACACACAGTGGAAATGTCAAACTTGTATTGAAATATCCCCTGACACTAAAACTTACTCACTATACTAAACACAGATCAACTTTTCAAAAATAAATTAAAACTAAACAATGTATAAACCATTTAGGATTACCATAAGGTTATATCATTTATCATTGACAAGAAACAGCTATGAGAATTTTGGTGGTTACAGTGAGTTTATATTAACCCCTTCACATTCCAGAAATAAAACTAAAGGATGAAATTGTTTGAAACTTGAAAGGAAGTTTCCTAAAGACATGTAGTTTCAGAAAAATAAAATATCTAATTTTTATTTTTTCTACTATTTGTACTGGAAATTCGTTATTTATTGTAGTTATTTGCACTCAGATTCTGAGTAGTTGAAGTGCAAATTGATTTTCATGTTAAGTAATCAAAATTATAATTAAATTGATTAATGTCATGAAAATTATCAACTATTTGAAATCTGTGTTATTGTTTTTGATTATTACAACTATCCAGTAATCAAAAATTGCTATTATGATTTTTCCTTATTGCTTTCAATTGACTCAAATTTATTCAGCTTAAACAATCAAATGTCAAGACTCACAAAAATAATTAACTAATCAAAATTACAGTTTCCCATTATTACTATTTTCAGTTATTCCAACTAGTCAAGTAAATGAAATATTGCAATAATTTTGGTTTATGGTTAAACACACAAAGCTACACAAAGAGCTGTCTGTGTTTTCTCCATCACAGGGTATTGAAATTCAATTTTTTTACATTATAAGTTTTTTTTTCAGCCATCCCATGGTAGAATAATCAATTACTTGAATTTAACCAATTGATGAGCCCAACAATTAATTATTTAGCAAATTCAATTAATCACCCAACTCTAGTCATGAGTCCTTAAAGTATTACTATAAGGTTATACATTTAACAAGACACAGTTACGAGACCTTAAAGAATTATCATAAGGTTATATGATTAACACAACAGTGGCAGTTGTGAGACACTCAAGTGTTATCATATAATTACATCATTAACAAGATAGTTATGAGTAGAACTAGTGGTTAGCTCAATTAATTGATTACCTATGTGCACTGATTACATTGGTCAGTATCCTTTATAATTAATCAACCTAAATTATCCTTAAATATTAAATCTATTAATATTTCAGAAATAGTTGTCTAGTGTTTCCAATTATTACCTTTTTTAATTAATCCAATAATCAAAATTATTATTAAATTGATTAATATCACAAAAATAATCAACTAATTGAAATTATTGTTTCTGATTATTTCCATTTTTGACTATTCTAACTATCCAGTAATACAGAAATATTGACATTATGATTATTTATTATTATTTTCAATTAACTGAAGTTTGTTCAGCTTAACCCTTTAAATATGGGTAGATCAATATGCATGTCACGATCATCTTAGAAAGTTATATTCAAAATTCATTTAAAATATACATCAATAAGCTTGCCACCAAAAGGTAGTTTATAATTCAAATGTTTGTATAATTTAAGTTTTAATTTCTTAAGTTAAAAAAATTAATTTAAAAAATTTAACATTTTCCTAAACTGAAAATGTATTTCCAATGATACTTACCTCTGCTGACACTATAGATATTTTTCAATCTCCAGGATTTCCACTCTTTGTCCATCTAAGCATTGAAAATGCTTGCTTCATTCTTTATATAACCCGCTTGAATGCCCTTGGCAAATTCTAATTTGCAAATTTCTCCACCAACTTCAATGCAACCTCTCTCTAGGTACTACCACCTCATTCAGATAATGTAATCACTTTTTCGTGACATAAACCGGCTTTTAGTGGGGAGAGTGTCAGCGGAGGTAAATGTTATTGGCAATACATTTTCAATTTAGGAAAATGTTAACTTCCAAACATACTTACCTCTGCTGACACTATAGTATAGAATCCCACACTGAGAAGGTGGAGGGGCCAGTGCAGGCATGAACCATACAGAAAGCATCTGTATAGAACAAAAGTGTACCAAGAAAAAGATGGTACAAGAATGGGGAAGCCGCATTACATCTAGAACAGGTATGCTCTTCACTAGGAACTCAGTCCCTATATCAAAGGTGGAATAGGATACGAGTACTCATCGGTATAGGCCAGCCCCAACTAGGTACCATAACTTGGGGCTGGAATTAAAGGGTCATGGTACCTATATCCCACATTGGTGGCTAGAAGTATTTGACTGCAAGGTTATTTATACTTTTGATTGGATTCCAACCTGTAGCCATAGAGTGATGCGTTTCACACCATCAGAATCATGAAGAGATAGTAAGCAACACCAAAGTGGGCAAACTTTCTCCTCCACCTGAAGAAGTCCAAAAGGCAACACCCCAGGCTCGGAATGATGGGCTCATGTATGTCGTACTCAATCAAAGGAACAAAATTCATCCGGTCTGGAATTATGAACATTCATCCTCACTCCCCAACCAAGTGGGCAAGGAGTATTCCTCTTGCCCCTGGAATTATGGAGAGGACGTGGAACCTGTGCTCAACCAACGACCTAGGATGGGACCATATTGCATTTGGAATTATGAGGAGATAGTGGACATCCTTCTATGAACAATATATGAAACCGACATTGATCAAAGAGAAGGGCCACGCACCTTCCAACTGGATATCTCTGTGTCATATCTGAACCGGAATTACAAGTAGGCTCCCGTGGAAGTTGGTGCCAATTCTATTGACACCTGGGAAAAAACATCCAGGGACCTGAGTAGGAGGGCTCCCAACTTTGCTCTCTTCTCCAAGAGTGGAGGAACCCACTCAAATACTCTGGAGGAACAGCCTCTGTCTACCACCCCAGCAACTGGATACTGGGGTGGTAAGAACTCCCAAGCTCCACTAGTAGAGTTGATGGGGGGGGGGGGTATATGCATTTGGGAGTCCTGAGGAACAGTGCTCTGGAAACTGTGGAATAGGTGAACCAAGTCCCCTACATTTTTAAAAGTAAACCGATCCCAATTTATTAAACCTGAAGATCAGCAGGGACGGGCAGGATCCCATTTAGCTTTACTCATGATAGTCCATAATATCAGGTAATACCATCTGGTAGGTAGGTGCCTTGATGGTCTTATGGAACATCCCATTTTGACAGAGCCTGTTGCAACCTGTAGTAATTATAGTGAAAGTGGTTGCTAGTGTGAAATTGACAAGACTAAGAATACCTGCCTGGGCAACAGAGTGGGATCCAGTGAAATAATAAAGGGGCACTGGAAAAAAAAAAGAGTACATGATTGAGGAAAATACTCACCTCTGGTACAAATTTTTAACAAATGTTGTCAAATTACCTACTAGGTTAGTCAAAAACCCTCAGAAGACAAAACTGCTAGATCATGTAAGTAATGAGACAGGAAAGTATTAATAGTAGTCCACATACCAGGCTGCACAATGTCTTCCAGAGGGCAATTCAACTGTGTGGCTATTGACATAGAGATATGATAAATCTGGTAAGATGATACACAAAAGAGTCCACTCCTGTAACTATAATCCATTATAGGCCCTATGAATAAAGTTATGAAGCTACCGTGTTAGGGTAATGGGAGATAAGTCATGGGAAAAAAGAAGAATTTCAATGAATGAAAAATTGATTCCTACTACCTCAAAATGAGTTAGTATGAGCTACATAACTTGTGAGGATCCTAACAAGACATAACAAACAGTCAGGATTGGAGCAGTCATAAAGGTGAGAAATGGCTGGCAAATGGATTGGTGAGAAGGATCTTTCCCTTAAACTAGCTGTCAGTCTTTGGAAGAAAAGACCTACTGGGGTAAATCAGTACAAATGTGGAAATATAGTCCAAAGCACACAAATTGCAAACAACTCCAAATGAAGATGTCCACAAGCTAACAACAACAAAAAACACAATATAAAACAACTGTATAATCCCAATTCTATAATTGAAAAGGTCATCTGGTTCAAAGAATGTTAATGGTTTTGAGTAGACCTGATAGTACTGATGATTCAAAAACCTTTCGATATTGGAAATACCAAAATATAGTGGATAAGGATACTTTATATAAAGCCACTGTAAGCAAAGCAAAACCCCTCTCAAATACCAAAGTCATAAAATGGGATATGGTAGATACTTTAGGATGAAAAGGGTGGAAAATCCTTTTAATACACCACTGACAATAAGTATGTCATTTCAAATGAGAAATGGGTATGGTTGGCCTGCGGAAAGATTTAGTTAAATACAGAGAAACTGTAGAAATTAAATCCTTATGTTGGGCAAAGGACTGCATAACTTCCAAGCATGAAGATTAAGTTTCCAAACATCTGGGTAAATAATGTTTGATCAAAGTTGTCTCAGAGACTGCCAATGTGGAAGAGGTAGAGGAAGATATACCTACAGATACCAAAGAAGTGGAAACCACATTTGAGCTGGCCAATATGGTGCAACCAAGTTAACTCAACGGGGAATAGAGCAAACTATAGTCAGAATCCAGGGCACTAGCTGAATGGGGGGGGGGGGGGAGCATACAGATGTAAACCAGTCCAGTCCTGACTGAACACATATTCTTGAGGATGAGGTATTGGAGACCAAAACTGAGAGAAAATCCACTGAAAATACACATGACGTAGCATCCGTAGCATCAAGACAATTTCTTCCTTCAAGAGAGAAAGACCTTAAACCATTGCCCAGTGTACTGCAAGGAGTTCGATAACACTGATATAGAGGATAGACTCGTCTTCCATCCAAATACTCTGGAACTCTTGATCTTGAAGATAGGTTCCCAATCCTAAAAGTAGTGTTGTTCCAATCCAACCACCATTCCCAATCGATGAGATTGCTCCTTAGTAATGAGATGGGATGACCCAAAGAATTGGAATGCATGATCCACTGGTCATGCAGTGACCACTGAAGGGACCTTCTATGTGCTCGTCCCAAAGGAAGAAGAGGTTCAAGAGATGCCAACATCTCCAAAAGAGAAAGAACCATCCATACAGTAGGAAAATGAGACATAAGTAAAAGCCTGATGACTCTTTCCACAGTTTGAAGCCTGATAGTAGTTGGTTGAGCACGACTGAGATGAGTATTGAAAAATACCCAGATGGACGAGATATTGCATCGGTGACAGAATAAATCAGAGAAACCTCCAGGAAGATCCCGCTATGGGAATATGGAGATAAACATCAGTAACATCGAATGTAGTCATCCAGAGCCTGGTGCAAAGTGCCATCATAGGTTGAGAAAGGATACCAAAAGAAAGAGAGAGGAGGGTCTAAAAATTTGTTGAAACTATGACTGGATGCTAATCTCCTGTCTTCTTGGGTACAATGAATAAATGGGAATAAAATCCTCTCTACTGTCCTTTTGTCTAACAACACTCTTATAGGCTGGGAACAAAGCTTCACTCGTCTTGAATATGTTAGAGGTGAAAATGCAATAGGTTGTACAGATAAAAGTGGAGGTGATGTAAATTGAATGACCCAAACCTGAATCCAGAACATGGACTATCCATTGATCCCTGGTGAAAAAACTTCATATGTCCAGAGAGTGATGTAAACGTGCTCCCACAGCTCCCTCGGCCAAGGGAGAGACACTGATGCTGTTGTTAACGGTCTGTCCAAGCCGAAAATCCTAGAGAATACAGAAGAACTCTATTATGGGAACCTAAGGAGGGGATCGAGCAAAACTACGAGCCGACACTCCCAAATTAGTGCCAGAAATGCGAAAAGTCAACGACGATAAAGAAGAAAGTAAACAAGCTGAATCAAATCTTTATTCTAACATCTCTGGAACTCCAGAGACGTAACATGGAATGGAGAAAGAGAGATTCCCGTAACTCCCTGAGAGCAGAAGATGGTACACAAACACCTTCAACCAATAATCTCTAACTAATAAATTTCAACAACAAACAAGCCAGGAAACCAGAGAAAGAACAGAAATCAATCTGACTGAGGTAGACATCAGTAAAATTGCCAACTGAAGGAGGGGAACATTGATAGGCTTGCAACAAAAGCTAGATTGAAAATAAATGCCTCAGGACAGTTGGGAGAGTATGACAAATCTGAGAACTATAATCTGTTTAAGTGATCAGAGGTTCCAATCAAAATGCCCCACCAGGTCCAAAAGGGGGTCTATTTGTTGAGAATCTAAATATACTTCCTCTTGGTGGTAATAAGCCAAAGCATGCTGTTCCAATAAACATGGTGGACAAGGCATAGTTATTCCATCTCATAACTGAGCAGCAAATCTCCCAACCCAACCAGTAACATCAGGAGGAGGAGGAAAAACCAAGTTGTCACTTATTGTTTATTCTGCCAACAATGAAGGGGTAGAGAGACTCCCAAAACCTCACCAACCCGAGTAGCCAACTGAAGAAAACGAAGCTGGAGGTGGCTGATCAAAAAGATTCTCTGGTGAGGCTGACCAAGTAAAAGAAGGAGCCAGAAAAATCGAGTCTAAATTCTCCCCAGCTGGTTCAGGTCATTTGCAAAAGGTGCCTCAGAACCCCCCAGAGAGACACCTACGGTCCGCATATATATGTCCATCTCGCAACTGATCATATTACAGACAGCCTGTAATATTAACATTAACTCGGGAATTCGTACCCGCCAGTACAGGTGTTTTAAAAATTATTATAATTATTATTAAAATAATCTATAAATATACGAAGATACAACTGTAGTAATGCAAACCACGTTCAATGTCGCAATGTAAATTGTGAATAATTACAACACTCCTGTTTATAGAAACCCATGCTGAATGCTTTGTTGAGAAAATGATTACATTATCAGAATGAGGTGCTCAAATACACTGCCTGGATAGAGGGTGCATTGAAGTTGGTGGAGAATTTTGTAAATTAGAATTTGTCAACGGCATTCGAATGGGGTATAAAAAGACTGGAGCAAGCATTCTCAATGCGTAGATGGGCAAAGAGTGGAAATGCTGGAGACCAAGAAATAGCTATAGCTTCAGTGGAGGTAAATATATTTTGGAACTGGCTGTTTACTTAATATTCCTAAAATATTGTTGTTGGTAAATTAACTCAATTATGAACAACAGTCAGGATGAATGTTATTTAAATTTCAAGGATTAACATTTATACAATTATTTCTGGAACCAAGTTTTCTTTTTATTAAAAAATAAAGAAAAAAAACAAAAGTAATGCATATGAACATATTACTTTACTTTTAACTCATTATATGCATTTGCTTATTTCTTTTTTACTTACTAATCCTTATAAACAGTAGATAAAACCCTTCAAGGCAGGTAGGGTATCTGATAGTTATTGGTTTTGATTATTCCAATTATCCAAATAATCAAGATAATGCCCTTACGATTTCTCAATATTAATATTTTGATTAATTCATGTTTGTTCAGCTTTCAGCTAACATGTCCTTGTAGTTAAGGGGGAAGAGGTTGCCTCATGATTTGAGAATTTTGTGTTTAATTCCCACTGACACCAAAACTGATCACCCTTTCAGCCACAGAAATATTATATTTGCTTATTTTTGAGATACTGCAAAGCTATTATGGCTATCTGCCAGTGTCCCTTATGTTGAACTCTTAACAACATTATCCAACTGTTTAAAGTAATTTGAAATGTGCATGATCTGTATTCTACAAATAACATTAGTAGCACTCAGCTCTTATATTTGGCAGTCTCTCTCTTACTTGATGTCATTGCTAAGTAATGAGTTTCTGCATTCAGATAAAAAGCTTAAAATGCAGGTATTGACACACCTCATGTACCTTTGTTATGATGACAGATAAGGGAGTATTATCTTGTTCATTTCAAACTTATTATAAACAGCCAAATATTTTCTTTGCAAGTTTGCATAATTATCAATCTATCTGTGGAAGAGTTCTAATATAAAATTTTTAAAACAAACTTTCCAAATGAATACACTGTTGTGAAGATTGTGAAATATTGTTTGCTTATAGAAAGTCCAGATAATTGGGAGTTCTTTTATTTTGGGATAGTAATAATTATCAAACTTCATTGCCCAGAGATGGTATTATTTTCTAAAAATTGGGGTTTATTGTATCTTGCATATAATATTAATTTATATACAATTCAAAATGTTCAACACCACCTACATATTTTTGTGAAATAGAAAAATGGACACCTTACAATCTTTACATCACTAACTTAGTTAATTTGAAAATTATTATTTTATTAATTCTGATTTTGGTAGTTTGTATTGAAAACACATGTGAGGTGTATGTTAATGAAAAATAATTCTATAAAGAACTATTAAATGTTATTGTGAGCAGGATTTGGCAAGGTACACATAAACCAACTACAATTACTATTTCCCTAGTGTATTTGAATTTGGGCAATTGTGTATTAGAAACAATGGCTTCAGCCCATAAACCACAGGCCTTATGGAAAGTAAAAAGGCTGTAAGAAGATTTTTAAAAAATGTGTATTTGCTAAAAAGTAAAGATATGAAAATAAACTGCAAATAACTTAATTCTTGACTTGACAAAAAGCATGAAAAATATTATTTCGATAATGGTATATAGTACAGTGTAATAAT